CCCCCCCCCGTCTCGATTTTTTACACTCTGATGCTCCTTCCCCTCTGTGAAGCCTGAAGTCAAATAAGGGGCTAATGGTATCTATCAAAACGCATGCCAATTGATATAAATAAATAAGATAGTGGTAACTCGATGTTAACCCAATTTCTTTGTAAAATAACGATTCATGTTGTTGTTCTCTTCTTGAAATAAATCACGGTCCCATTTAGATCATTTGATTGCTATTTACTCAATTACAAAGTTTACATTTAGCAGTTTTGTGCATTTTTCAAGGATGGTTTGATGATAAACCGAAAGCAAGTGTAAGTGCGTAATTGGTCCTGCAATTTTTTCTTCGATCAACAAATGAACTTTTATTGCATAAAAATCTGCATACAAGAAATCGACATTGTGTAGAATAACGGATCTCAATGTCAAAAGTGAATTAGATTTGCGAACATTCGACTCCACAAAATTAAAACATTATTGCTATTCAAATATTGGCAGTGAGTCACGCTGCGAAAAATTCTTGCAAACCAAAATGAAAGTTTTTTAAGTAAAGCAATATTCTCTAGGCATAGTGCTTGAAGAAATCTCTTTTCAATTCTGGAAATAGAAAATAATTATTTGTCAAGAAGTATCTGAGCTAAAATAGTTGGGAATACCTAAACCATGGCGGGAATATTCGCAGGATTAGCGAAAAATCAAGCAGTGGATTAGAAGGGAGATGAGTGTCAGCAAAGTTTGGATTTGTAGATTAAATAAATTACCGTATCATAATTTTGGAAAACCTTTGTATATATTTAAGAGCGTTATGGTTCATATGTTGCTTTTAACGTACCCTCTTAGATACATCGATTTCATGTTGACTATATTGAGCTCACAAGGGAATTAAAACAAGTGCCTCATCCTTACTCATATCTATATACCTTTGAGTGTCATTGATTCCCATGTAAACCTCTATTTAAGTAGGCACGCCTGATAATAATATACAAGAGTAATTCCCAAAAATTCGAGCACCTGTGGTGAATTCAGGTTTGCAACTATTTCTTCTAATGGCATCACATTCTAAATAAACAAGTACCAACTTCAACACTGGTTACGATGTTAACGAAGTGGTTTTAAATATTGTCGAATTCAACAGGTGAAATAAGTTTGTAAGTTAGTAATTACAAACATGTAAATAAAAGGCTTCTACTACCTCCTAGTAGACTGTTAAGCTTAAGTTTATTACATTCATTACTATTGTAATAAAAATGGTTTTGAAGACTTCGATGATAAAAAAACACTATTTTGTTTAATAATGGTAGACAAATACTTTCTTTATATTGCACTATTTTTGATCCAAAATATACAATTGGTTCATATAACAAGCTTATATTTCCGTCCGGTTGAAACATAAATGTGCTGTTTGGAAAAATTGGTATATTGTTACATTTCTAACAAATGTAACACATTAGTCAGTCCAACATTGAGATTGCTTTTTTTATTCGTAATAAATATAAATGTACCTGACCAACCCAAATCTTAAAAAATGCTTTTGATTTACGTGTTGTATTCATCATCAAAAAGCTAGAAAACTAGCTCAATTTAAAAATTCGCCTCCCCCATAACTTCTTATTATTCGCTTCTATTGCGTGCAAGAGTTTGCAAGATTAATTATATTTGATGTTTATGCGAATTGACGTTTCCTATGCAAAATAAAAAGACAACCCACAATTAGGGGCTTTAGATGTGTGAAAGAAAATTATAAGTATAAAAAAACATTTTAGATAGTTCTAAAGGTTAGTGTAATTTTTGCGCGATTCAAGTTCACGCGTATGGTGGCGATTGGTTAATTATTTTTATTTGCTAAATAAATCACTTTATTTTTAATCAAGAATTTCATATTTCTTAATTTAATACTATGATCAATCCTATTCCAACTTTATTTTTGGAACACAGTATTAATATAATTAAATCTGATGCTGTATTTTGTTGCTATTATAAATGTGCTATTTTAATTTGATGAGGTTTATGATTGCAAAAATTCAATTGTGTTTTAGCTCCCAATGCTATGAGCAGTTATGTTCTAGTTGTTGGTTTCCATCATAAAAAAGGCACATCCGTTGAGTACGTCTATCCCGAACTCGAAACCGGTTTAGACCTCCCGCCTGCCTGGAATTTTATCCCTCCCATTGCTCTTCCAGATGGTGCTCACAACTTTGGGAAAGGTTTGTGCTTTTGAGCTTTTCCAACGAGTTTTATTATTTATTAATTTAGACTATATTTTCTTCACCGTTCCTTCTCTTGAACTAAAGCCTACGACATTGTTTGGCGTAGCGTGCTATCGACAGGTTGATGCCAGAGTAAGCCAATCAATTTAAAACGATTCTCTGATCGAATTCGGAAATTTTAAGTATTATTTGATATTTGCAGAAATTTTCTAATCAGACACCCGATCTTACTCGGAATACTGTACAGAAGAGTGTCGTTTTCCTATCCCCAACCGTAAGCTAACTTTTATCTGAATAAGTATTGACATTCAACAACGATTCCCTTTGAATTAAGGCTCTTTTCGGCACTGTTTCTCACTTACTTGATGACGTCACAGATGCATTTATTTCTGCGTCATCGTGTGAAGAGGGCTATGAAATACTTCGAAATGGATTTGAGGAAATTCAATCGGCTGTGAACAAGATCGTTCGAATTCCATCATTTGAAGGTAAGTTATTTTAGAAATATCATTAATTCTATAGAATTAGACCAATGACCTACTTGTTAAAGATAGATTTTTCTTTGTAACTTTTTATCATGTCATTGAGTATTCCTTCTTTATTGTGCATTGTTTTGTGCTCTTGTTGGGCTTCCAGCTATCTGCTCTTCGATCTTGCAATCATTTCGACATCATTACTTTTTCAGCTTTTTACAATTTTCTTCATGTAAATAGGAGTGTCATCAGTCATTTTTGTTCTTTTGTGCTTTTCTCATTAAAGGCGGAATGTTTTGGTCCCCTTTTTCGAATCAATTGCGTCATATTCTCAGGCATACACTTGCATTGTTTATTGTGCAGTTCTAAGCGATGTCCCATTTTCATTAAAGGCACCTCTTGTTGACCTCATTGGCAGCTCTAATTAGCGATGCCTTCTTGAGATGCGCGATTTGTGGGCTACTTGTGATAGCCAAGGACATTGCGCTTCGTAATGGCAAAGCTTGTTTACATTGAAGTTGACTAAACTATGTAAATGCTTTTTTCGACTATATATCTCAATTTGAATGCGTTTTCCACGAAGTTCTCTTCACCTTGTTGCTTGAAATTTCTGTTGGATGCTTGCAAATTCGCCTTTCAAGGCTGTGGTGGCGCACACTGTAGCTGAAGTTGCCAATTTCATTTACTTTGTATTTTTCCACATGTGATTTTAAGTCACCTGCAGCCTGACTGTCTTGCTGTTTAAGTCAACGATTTTAACCGCGTTTATTCAAAATTGCTCGCTTGAACAACATTGTTCCTATCTTTTCCCCAAGAAACTTTCAGCTCTTTTTAATTTGGCATCGCATATTGGGAATAATTTTTTTCTCATGTATTCTTTGATGTTGAAGAAACTCAATTCCTCGTAAGTCGCTCTCCAGGAACCGCTCATTCCAGAAAACCCTCAAACAATTGATGTATGCACTCTCATTTAAACTTCCATATTCCATCAATATTTTGCATCAATGTTTAGAGCTTGTTTTTCCGTTTTCCGAATGCCCTCCAGTGTTTGAATACTAGCCGTGAAACCGCCTGCTAATTCGTCAGCCCTTTTATACCACAAATTCAAAAGTGTGGAAATGCCTGATTACTAAAAGCACTAGATCCATCGTACGTAAAACAGGCTTCAACATTCTTATCAGTTCAAGTGACCGACACAAATAGTTGTGTGTGGCACATCACTACATTCTTTTTGGGGTGTGCGATAGACTTACTTCCACGTGGTGCAGCCTAGGCAACGTATACTCATACGGCTTCTGACTTCAGACTACCATGGCTCTATTGTATGTCCTATTCGACCCCTACCACAGTACTCATCTTACCTTTTCTCTGCCTTTATGTCTATCTCTTTTACATCTGTGAATCATTCTTCTGTCCCCCCTCTCGACTTTTTGTCACTATGATATTGCTCCTTCTCTATGTGATGACCGAAGTCAACTAAAGGGCTAATGATAACTATCAAAACGCCAGCCATTTGAAATAAATGAACATTCTGTTGGGCTTCTTTAGATGTCCTGCTGAAAGATCTCAGTGCAGTATCCTTCGTGAGAGCCTACCAGCGTGAAGCCCTTGTTCTCCTAAAAATTCTCCTTCTCGAACGCAGAATCCTCTTCGCCTGCGAAACCGCCGTCCATTGCATGTCCACTTGGCTCCTCACTCTCATCAGTCTCATTCCAGGTTCGAGTCTCCTATTGCGAAGCTGCTTTTGCTAGCAATAATAAAGGCAACGTCTATTGTCTATTTGTTTATTTATTTATTTTTTGTAGGGATGATGAATGGTGGTCTCTCCTCCTGTGCCCTGATTGATGATACATGGGTTGGTGAGAGGGCCTGTTGGCCACTGGCGACTCTTTCACAATCTAATTTCTTGATCGGTGGTTCAGCGAATGCTAGTGCCGACGTCCCAATTGTTCAGGAGAACAATGCGGACTTCACCGTGGGTTTTCTGTCTATATTTTGACTCTACTTAGGTTTAAAACGCAAGTAATTTGCTTTAAGGTAAATTTTATGACTTACATTTCGTGAGGTCCTCCACTATGCCTGCCACCATAACTTTTTCTTTGTTTCGAAATGCTTCATGGAGTGGGAGAGAGAGAGAATGTCCCTACCACTGAATCATCATCATCTTCGAGGAGGGCATATTTTTCTCCTGGTTTACTAGGCCACCACAGTCCCACATATAAATATGAAATTTAGATCCTTTCACTCTTTACTCACACTCCTTCTCATTGTTTCA